CTGCAGGCTCGGACATAGCCCTGTTCCCAGGTTTTATTAAAAAAAAAAAAAATTAAAACACACACAGAGAAAGAAAGAATGCTAGAATGCAGAAGGACACCACCACTCACCAAGGTCACCCAGCAACTTAAGGACAAACTTAAGTCTAACCCTAAGAGTGCAACCCCCAAAATGTCCAATGTTCAATTACATATTTCAGATGGCTCTTGGGTGGTCCCGCCAGGCCCTGTGTCCTTCAGTCTTCGCTTTTACTGAAAGCTGGGTAGTCAAAGGAGCATTGTGAAGGACAGATGCTCAGGGCTTAAGGAGCTTTTGCTTCCAATGAAACCAAGGAGCGACACAGTCACCTTATCTAACAGTTGCCTAAAGTTCCTCTCAAAGACGAACTTGATTTCAGGGCTCTGCCTAGCGTATGAAGACAGGCGTCTCCCTGAACATCTACTATGGGAAGCATCTGAGTCAGATTATAGCCGAGCATGTGCCGGGCTATTTTTGGAAGAGGCTGTATATAGGACATAGCTTTCTGGTTATGTCACAGCCTCGCAGGTGGGCCCTCTCTTCACATTCGGGATAAAAATAGATGCATACCTTAGTGATACAGAGACAAATACATGCAGCTTCTGCCCTTGAAGTGCTCCAAGACTAGTTACAGGGTCACGAAAAGTAGAAATAAGGTATATGAATAAAAAGAATCAAAATTGGGGCTGAGGAGTTGCAGAGAGCAGAGACTTAAGGTGCCTCACTTACAGTGGACTTAACTGTACGAGAATCTAACCAAAGGCTGGGCAGCAAAGTCAATCATGCACCAAAACAGGCATGGTCTCGGGGCCAGGGAGCCTCCATCCTTGGGAAGAAACCACAGGTGGTCTGATGCGGGCGTCAATGCAGAGTTGTGCTGAGCCGAGTGCTCTGAGCCACACAAGTACTGCTTGTGGAAGACTTGACTTGAACATAACCTGGGTTGAGTGCATGCAGAATAAGGTACCATGCCATTAGGCAACTTGCCCTCTCTCCATAGCTATTAGTGGTAACAAGAAAGGCCCAGAATTGTGAAGGGGAAAAAAAAGACAATGTCAACTCATATTTGCTTCATTTAAAACAAACCAGAAATTTTTTTGGTTCGTGGAAATGTTAGTTTTCAGTTATGTAAAATGTATTTTTAAAACTTTAATCCCTTTTCTAAAGGTTTATAACCAAGACTTGCCATCAATGGCTTGAGAAGTCGTCCTGTGCTCTATGGCCCCCTTTAAATGGACTCTGACAGTCATGGCAGCATCTGTGTCACTTTGAAGATAATCCACACCCCTTTTCTATGAATGAGACCAAGTTCATGTCATATATGCAGAAATGCCTAACCTGTTGCTTGGAAGCCCCCAGTAAACTTTGCGGCTCCGGAATTCTGATCATTTCCCAACTTTCAGTAAGAATGATTTTGACCTTTCTCTCTGATGGAAGCAATGCAAGGATAGCCTCTTGCCTAATGGTGTGCCCCCCAAAAAAATCATCTCTGGGGATGTAAAGTCAGTGGTGAAATCCTGCCTGCATCGCCAGTGATTCAGTGAGATTCTAAACATGTGTCCCCTGCAGCTGATTAGGAAGTCCCTTTAATGTGTGCTCTAAGCTTCCGGACCCTCTGCCCCTCAGCTGTTCTGAATCTGATGCCATCAACCTTGATCTTTCTAGGGTTCAGTCTCTGTGAGTTTTGCTCTCCCCACTCAACAATCACCCCTGAGCTCCAGGCCAGTGAACCCCAGCACTGGAATTTCAGGAGGCAGCTAGCTGACTTTGCATGTCCCATCGCTTCTGCAAACAAAACTGAGTTAAGATCCAGATGACCCTCATGCCCCGCCCTTAGCCAGTCACTGCAGATGGGGCAGGAGGTCAAGTGTCACCTCCATGCACCTGAGAGTGGAGAGGCAAGGAAAGTCAGAAAGAGAAACAACACAAGAGGAAACACAGGTGCCCACAGACCAAAACAACATCCTTAGTGTACTCTGGACTTACTTTTTAAAAAAAAAATGAGAAACAAATTATCTATTTTTGGATATAACTGAAGATTCCAATACTGGTTTGGACTCTTTTTGGTCTGTCATTGGGTTGGTTTCTGGCTCAGCTAGACTCAGGAGCTGAAATAATGACTAATTCTGCCCTCCTACTCTCTCTCTCCCCCTTCTTTTCTTCAGTCTTGGCTTTATTCTTAAGCAGGCTTTCTCCACAAGAAAGCCTGGAAGAATCTCTAGAAATCTTGATGTATACGGCTGAGCTGCTTAATTTACGCCAGCCTCACCCAAGCTAGAGTCATCCGAGAGGAGGGAAACTTGACTGAGAAAATTCCTCCGCAAGATCAGACTGCAGGCAGGCTGAGGAAGTCATGGGGAGCCAGTCAGTAAGCAGCATTCCTCTGCGGCCTCTGCATCAGCTCCTGCCTCCTGCCTTGCTTAAGTTTCTGTGCTGACTTTCTCTAATGATGAGCTGTGATGTGGAAGAGAAAGCCAAATAAGCCCTTCCCTCTCCAACTTGCTTTGGGCCTGGTGTTTTGTCACAGCCATGGTGACCCTACCTGGGACAGCAATCCTAACTATTGAAGAGACAGCACACTTCTCTTCCCCCCCACATCAGCCTCCATAAAAGGCCTCAGAATAGCCCAGCTGGAGCTCCATGTCCACCCAGCACTGATCACCCTAACTAGAACATGAGGCTACCCGGAGCCCACACCTGAGGACAAGAAGGAGGGGAGTTCAAATCACCAGTCCCACAAAGCATGAGAGACAGTTCATTGAGGCAAATGTTAGATATGAACCAAAACCCAAGAAGAACATCAAGAGGACAAATACCTTAGCCCTGGGCCTCAGTCTCTGCTCTGACGCTTAAAGGTAACACGCCATAGTGGTGACACCATCATTTCGGCCACTGATGCTTGCCTTTCCCACTCTTTCCTGGCTCACCACATTCCTGGAAAACTCTCACGGTTACTCTTGCTTTAATCCAATCTGAAAACTCCGATTTTCATTTTCCTCTAAGGGATAGTCTCTATTCCAGTGTATATAATGGAAAGAGAAAATTAAAAACAGCGGTATGGTTAGTTTTAGCTGTCAATTCAATACAACCTAGAGAAACTGGGAAGAAAGTCTTAATAATGGCATGTCTGCAAGGATTTTCTTGATTGTTAATTGATGTGGGAAGTCCCAGCCTACCATGGGTGGCATCATTCCCCAGGTCTGGGATCCTAGACTATAAGAGAAAGCAGGCTGAGTATAAGCAGTAAGTGGACAGGCAGCGTAAACACATTCATCTCTCAGTGCTCTTAGCATGGATATGATGTGACTGGCTGCTGGAATTCTTGCCTGGACTTCCCTAAAATAATGGGCAGTAGCCTGAAATTGTAAGTCCAATACACTTTTCCTTCCCTCAGCTGCTTTCTGTCACAGCAACAGAAATGAAAGAACACATGGTAACTCCGAGGAAAATAACATCATCTTAGAGTGGGGAGAAATGAAGCCCAGCGTTGGGGTGTGGCAGAGTGAGAATGTCCCCCCACAGGCTCAGCTATGAGCATTTGTTCACCACTTCGTGGTGTTAGTTGGGGAGGGTTTTCTTGGGAGGGGGGGTGGAGATTGACCTTGATGGAGGAAGTACATCACTTGGGGTGGGCTTGGTAGTTTAAAGCCTTGAGCCACTTCGAGTTCACTCTCTGCTTCATGCTTGTTCTCAAAGATATGAGCTTTCCGTTCCTGCTGCCATGCTTGCCGCTTGCTGCTGGGCCTCCCCACCGTGATGGACTCTCATCCCTCGGAACCACATGTCAAGCAAGCTCTTCCTTCTGTAAGTTGCTTTTGTTCATGGTGTTTTACCACAGCAGCAGAAAAATAACTCATATGGAGAGTGCAGATCTTTTTACAGGATAGAAGGCTGTGCAAGGAAGAAGCGGACAGGAGAGTCAGCCATTGCACAATCCTCAGGGCACGGTCCCGGCTGTGGTCATTACAGCTCAGGAGAGGAAAGAGGGGGAGAGTCCAATGCGCCCTTTCACGGTACTTGGTGCCAGACCTATGCTAAATTACCTTACATCTGTGAACAGGCTCAGTTCTCACATTAGCCCTACCTGCAACTCGCGTGCTGTCTGCAGGTCAGAGAAACAGTCATCCACATGATCTGGACCCGAAGTCCAGCAGCAGAGCCTAAGAATCGATGTAACATCTTCTGCCTTAACACGAATCCTCGCCACTGCGTTAGGCAGGATCCAGTGATATCTGTAAAACATCAAGCCGTAGATGAGCAGGCTAGCAAGAGGCAGAGAAGAGGCATTGCAGTGTGTATATGGATGGAAAGAATGAAAACAGGGTGCGAAGAGGGGGTAGAATCTGGTGGAGGAACCCTAGTCGAGGGAAGCAAGGCTGCGGAGGGGCTGGCTCATAAGCGACAATGAGACAATGAAGCAGAGACAAGAGCAACATGACCCTGCTCTGCAGAGTCCAGAAGCGAGGTCAGGGGATGGAGGAGGAAGACGGAGTGAAGCAAGTATCTAAGAAGTGCAGAGTCCTAAGGGGAGGTGCTATATAGTTTGAATGTGAACCCCAAATTCATATATTGACACTTAATGGCCAGCACCCCCAGATACCTGCAAATGTCTGAAAAATATGACTGAAGAGCCAAAGGGATATTTATGTACTTCTATCCTGCTTCTCCTCCAGAGAGGTGGGAATGGTTCCCTACAAGGAATTTCTGAAGGAAGGCCAAATACGAGTTTAGCCCCTGGTTTATCCCAGGGCTCCCACCTTTACCTGATGTTATTAATGACTTTAAGTGAGCCCTTCCCAATCTAGTGTTTGCTGGAATCTGTGTCTGGAGATTCTGTCAATAGAGCTACATGGAGCCCAGAATGGGGTACAGAATCCATCGTTTTCTGTACACATCCCTGGCCGCAGCCATCTTTTGGTGTGATGGTTTTGAGAGGCACTGATCCTTGAAGAGAAAGATGTTCTGCTCCAATATTCTTCATTTCTTCCTTACCCAGACTTCTGCTAACTTCTAGGTCTCCCAGCTTCTGCCCACCACATGCTCTGTCCTAATATCCTCGCCGTTCTTCAGAGTGGGATCACTAGACTTCCCCCATCAGGACTGGGTCTTCCTCCCATTCTCTCCTGCATCCCACCTTGCTTGTGGGCAGAATACTCATCCTATTCTCCCACGAGGTTCCAAAGGTGCTGAAAATGAGAACGACACCTTCAAATAACCCAGGGTCATAAAGTGTTTATCACTTGCTTAAGACAACTCATATCTTTAGAAATATTACCCCACTTCCCTTTCTTTTTTTCATATCCCTTCAACGATGTGTTTTGCATCTCATCTGTTTGCTAAAATACATAAAATAAGTGAATAACTGAAATAAAAACATTTTGGGGTCTTATTTATGACGCTTGATGATTTCAATGAAATAAACTTAGAAAAAATGCCTTGGTGGCATTTAGCACTTCCCATATGAAATGAAATGTTTGATTTTTCTCTAAGTTGCTCATAAATTACGTGGCTAAAGTTTGACTGTTGAACTGTGGGTCATTCCGGGACTACACAGGCATTAAGCTGAGCTGAGGACATACCTTAAAGTTCTCAGATCACTAAAAAGTGGGCAAACTAACCGGGTAGTTTCTGCTTTTCTTTTAACACAGAAAGAAACAGAATTTCAACTATCTTCTGGTACAATTTCTCCAAACTGCTTCAAACCTCTACTCAATTCATAATTACCATAGAGATTGATGTTTTATAATAAAATTTCTAGTTCATATTGTTTACTTATACAATATGCAAATCTAAATGCTACATTATAAGGGTAATACCTGTATTTAATATAATTGCTATTTATATAACCTCTATCATTGGAACATTTTCATGACTAATTTTGTAGCAGGTTCACCCCATATTCCAATTATTACTAACAGTCCCAAGCACTAGACAAAAAGTGACTTTGATTGCCAGGGGTCACCATTTTGAGTCAGTCTCGAGTTCCATCTTGATATAGAGTCCTGGCTTGGTACTGTGTTCCCCTCTGAAATGTCTGCTTGATGAGGCAGTGATCCCACGCCCAGGTGTTAGACTCACAAACAGCCCTTACACAACTGGATACAATTTCAACAAAAATCAGGAAGTCTACATAAGGGGAGGTCTTGTCCAGGGGACACTTCTGAGACTCTGTCTATGATATAGCATTGCAATATCAATGCAAAAGAGCCACATTATGATGGTGACAACATGCTGGCAAGCTTAAGAACATAAACTCTCATTTAAAAAAAAATACTATCAATTTTCCAAATGCTTCTTGATATCCAGATATTTGGTAATATAGAACAAGACATCTGGGAAACAACTAAATGTTTTTTGTTGTTGTTGTTGTCACCAAGATGTTTTGCTTTTTATAAGTCTGTATAGTCCAAGGCACAATCAGCTCTTCCCTTGCCTGGGGTAATAGGGGTCATGGAATCTGAGACATGAGTTGTCTCCTGCGCTGTTGGCTCTGGCCTGGTATGAATGCATAGCCTGTAGATTTCTTCTGAATGCCCTGCATTCCGATCTCACAAGTGGGGACTTTAAATAGCAGCTTATCTTCATGTCAGAATGCCTTAATGCTTTTACACCAAAAATAAAAAAAGAGTATATAAGGAAAATCAGAAACCAAGCTGTTCCGGCCCATCACGCGGCTGTGTAGGTGGTAAATGGGACGCCCAGTGACCTCTTAGAACCGCCATTATCCAGCTCTTCAAGACAGCTGGTACATTTAAAAGATGAGCTCTTCTGAGTTGGTTAAACAAAGATTCACTGGGAAGAGCTCTAATGCTTTTCTGTTACGTAACGTCAGATATGAAAAGCTTCATGCCTGTGCCCTGTGGTGTGATGTAAAAATAGCATCTCTGACTGCAACTTGATGGGGCAAGGGTACCAAAGATGAAAGTGGATAACAAGGAGCAATAACGCGTGACTGTGCAGCTTTAAGGACGATGGGGAGAAGGAAGTCCTGGGGACTCCTTCCAGCTAGCAATCAGGCTCCTTTCATTCGTTTTAATTATAAATAAAGAGAGAGAAGAAAAGAGGGGAGAGGCTGGCGAATGTCTTACCTCGATTAATTCCAGCAGAGTGCAGGAATGTGTGTGTCAGACTCAACCGTCGTTAAACCCGGTGTGTAATTATAGCACCACGTCTTGCAGGATCTTGAAGCAATCATTTCCATTTTTCATTCCTGTGTGGTGACTAAAAATTACCATTTCAAATTTCAGTGAGGAATCCGCATCAGTCTTGGATATGGAAGAGGTCCTCCAAACCCGAAGGCACAAACAGAGAGGCATTCGGGTGACAATGTCTGTGGTCCGTGGCTCGGGACGCCGCTTGCCTGCTTGCTTAAAAGGATGCAAAGGTGACCATTAGCAAGCACCGGAAACTTTTTCCAATTCAACAGGCACTTTGTGTCCAACAACGCTCAGGGCTGGGAATGCTGCAACACAGGGAAACACAGCTCAAATCCCCCCTTCCAGGTAGTCTTGTCTGCAGAGTTTGCTGTTGGCCTCTGACCAGAGAAGTACCTGCCACATAGTAGACCTCGCTAAATGCTTTGAATGAATGACTAAGTTCTATCTTTCTTAACAACACTTCTCCTTATAAGGGAGAGAACTAGTGATGTTTATTTTAAGTGGTTATATGGTCCAACTGTCTTCTGACTGTTTGTGCTTATAGCCACAGATTGGTGCTGTGCCCTGACTTGGCCAGCAATGTTTCTTATTGCAGTGGGCAGAGGTTAATAGAGAGAGCCGTTATAGTTCAAACTCCTGACAATAAATGTCTGTGGGTGCGGAGCAATAGGTGGACCATCTAAAAGAGTCCCCACCAACCCCCCAACTTCCAGCTCAAGGCTCAGAGAACATCTCAGAAAAGAGGGAAGAAAAGAAGCCAGAAGATAGGGTAGACTATTGTGAAATGCTCTCCTCCGGACATGGCAGGCTCTTGCACCCTGCGGTGCTGTGGTTCCTTGCACAAGACCTATACAAGATCAAGCTGGATAAAAGTTCTAGCATGGAACCGCATGGTGATGGTGCTTGTTTTCAATCCCAGCACTCTGGAAGCCAAGGCAGGTGGTTCTCTGAGTTTGAGGCCAATCTAGTCTAGAGAGCACGTTCCAGAACAGCCAGGGCCATTGCACAGAGAAAGCTTGTCTGGGGGGGAGAATCCTGGCGTGAGACTGAGAGGGGCTCCTGGAGGCCTCAGCCTAGCTGAGTGACTGTTGGCAGGAGATGGCTGCTGTGGGAAGGAGAGTCACTTTTCTTTGAGGGTGTGGTTGTCATAAGGTTTCCAATGCCCCAGTGGATGACCCCACTACATTGTGCATATAGACATTAGTAACCAGATTCAGTGGGTTAGAAAGATATATATTCAATGAATTAATTTTTAAAGGCCATGAGGTTTGGAGGGAAATGTCATGGGCAGTCCTGCAGAGTTGGAATGGGAAGCTATGGGTAGAGGTGATCAAGATACATTGGATACATGTAAGAAATTTCTAAAAACTAAAAAAGAGATGGTGAGACATCAAGGAAGCTATAAGAATAATCCAGGCATTTCCAAGGCCATGAAGAGCAGAATACTAGAGGGAAAGGAGCCACAGACAACCCTAGTTAAAATACAAGTCAGAGATGCTCACCCGTCATAGGGGCCATACCCGAACGGCACCTTAGTTTGGGAAATGGCAAGGAACCACCGAGATTTCACCCAACGGTGTGAGCAACCATTGTTTTTGACTGCTTGAATCTCCAAGCTTCTGGCTTCCGACGAAGGCCACAGCTGAAGTACTAATTACACTAAAAGACGCTGTCCTGTCGATGCCAGAGAGCCACAAGGGAACCCTTGTTCTCAGAAGACTCCAGTCCAAATTTCCCAGGGCCGAGGCAATCAGACTTTGGGTGGCCATCAACACAAGCCAGAGCCCCAGCCTCTCCAAGAGCTTATCTTCTGCCACAGACAGTCGTCCTCTCGGTGACAGGCGGGTCTGATATGAAACCCCATCCATTATGTTCTTTCCACGTGTGCCATTCTTAGACTTGTAGCTGTGTTTGTTAGAAGAGAATTGAAGCTGTGGTATTAGGGAATTTATATAACACAAGTAGACTTTTAAAATGTTACCGGAATCACCTGAAATGTGCGCATGTCCCTGACAACACTCTGATTCATTCCTCCTGGGTTTAACACAGTAGGAGGTGCTAAAATACCAACAAAATGTGCTTGTTTTCCCCCCTCTGTGATGAGGAAAAAAGCTTCTCCTGAGATCTGTTTAACCTCTTGCTGTGTGCAACTGCTGGTGGATTCCATTAAAGGGGCCCATTTGATGCTAGCAGAATTCCAAACAGCTCTGGAGAAAGAACTGTTTCAGGGACTCAGATCCATCAGAAGGGAAGGTAGACAAGAGAAACGCTGTGAGACAGTCACTTTCCTCCTCCCAGGATGCATTTCAGAAGCAGCAGTCTGGATGCTACTTCTGAATGCTTAGTATACCATTGTCCAAAGCCACATTGTCTGTTGCATAAGTTATGTTATCGGTGTCCAACATCATGCGGTCTGCCGGATGCTTAGCGTGCCAGTGTCCAATGCCGAGTTGCCTGTTGGATACTCAGATGCACATTGCCAAGGCCATGCTGTCTGTTGACTGTTTAGGGTGCCTAGTGCCCAGTTCTGTGTTGGCTGTAGAACCAAAGATATGTGTTCTTCCACTGAGCGTAAGCAAGAAGTCCCCCTTTGCTCCTCAGTAGCCCACCAACTTTGCCTGATTCTGCAGCCACTGTTTGGACAGCTCTCTGCCTCAGCAGCACACACCCCTGGCACAACACTAGGTCAGACACCTATGCAAGGCTTGCATTCTCCAGGGTGGGGTCAACAAAAATAAATGAACTGTACTACTTGAAGAAATTTTTGTTTGTTGATTGTTGGGTTTTTGTTGTTGTTGTTGTTTTGCTTTTCTTGAAGTTTGAGGAGCTTAGAGCCACTAGAAAAATGGATTGCATAGCATCTGGAACAGTGGAGGATGGTTTGACGATCTCTTACAGCTGTTCTTATTTTTCCTACTAGATAGACTATGCCATCGGCCACCAACAGCCATGGTGGATGTTCCAACAGTCATGGCGGATCCTGGCCCAGCCATGTCGCTCAAAAAATAAAAAATTGGAAAAACTTAAGCTTATACAAAATTGTACACACCTCTTTTCATAGTTACCAAAACAGAAAATTTAGATATTGTTCAGTGGGCGAGATAGATGTCCCGTATCTCGAATACTACTTAGTAATGAAGAAAAGGAGGGGACAAATCACTGACATCCTGTGGCTGTATCTCAAAAGTATCATGTTGGACGAAAGGAGACAGGATGAGAACGCAGCATCCTGTGTGATTCCATTTCTATGACATTCTACAGGAGAGATGAATGACCCCAGAACCATGGAATGGCCACATATCCTGACTATGATGGTGACCACACAAACCTATGCAAGCTAAAATCCCTAGGATGTCGTCATGGTTTCCTTCTCGAGGAACAGCCTCACCTGGGGTGATGGCTGCTCTGACTTCCACGGATTCCCACTGTCTCCTTTCCCAGCATCTTTCCTTGTTTAGCTTTTTATGCCAGATGTCAATGATACTGTTTACTAATAGAAATGGTGGGCTGGGTGGAAAGTAGCTAACATTTGAAGAGATGACAGCAGAACTTTTCCGGGATTCTTCCTCAGTTCTACACACAGCAGCCCAGAGAAGGAGTGTGAGTGGTGGAGTCAGCCTGTGAGCCTTCTGCCTACTCCTGGAGCCACGCTCTGGGCCAGCACTGTCTACTCCAAGCAGAGAGGGACCCAGCGATTCACACCCTGGCCTGTGTGACCCTTGACATCATTAAGCAGATAGGACACCTTCATGCCCTGTGAACACTGCCTTCTGAGGAGCCAATCACAGAAGCAACGCAATAACAGAGATTTCCTCTCTGGTTGAGACCACTTTTATTGGAGTATATCACACTCCTCTTTCTCGACCTGCCCTCTCTCATTTCCTCCCTCCACCTTGTCAATAATCCATCTTGTTTTCCTCAGGTGGCATCTCTCTGAAGCTAGGGAAGAGCAATGCTCAGGGCCCACGTTTCTGAATAACAATACAAATGTCATCTTAACTCTGGCTGGTTAAGTTACTCGGACAAAGGCTTCATTCCCTCTGTTCAAGAGTTAGGTCCCTTTTCTAAACGTCATGACCATATGTCATAGCTTTGTTCTTTTTTTTTTTTTTTAACAGCAACATTGAACATCCTATTCATTATTACACAGACGCACAAATGCCACATTCCTTACTCTCTTACACAATTTAGGACAGGAAGCCATTGTCCAGACAGAAAATCCAGTGAGTAAACAGAATTGCACCTCTATAAAATATTGCCTGGGCACTTTTTACTGTCTCTCTTTACTGAAATTACATTTTCATACATGCATGAGTACACACATGAGAATTCTTATTCTGTCTAAACATCTATCCTATGCAGAAGTATGGAAATGCTAAGCAGGCGTTGGGGGGGCTGCTGCAGCCACATAGTGTTCTTTTCATTAAAACAGAAATTTTTTTTAGCAGTAGGAGCATAGCAGAACCCGAAGGAGGTCCAGCCCTGGCATAGGAGTGCACACAGCTCTACTGTTTAACACCGAAATGCTATTTATTAGATAAACATTACATTGAAATAGCCCAGGAACATACAAGGCCATTGCAAAAACGAACTTTTTTTTTCTCCACCACTTATTTCTTTTTATGTTATCTCCTTAAAGAAGGACTTTCATACACCAGGGCAACCTTGGGGAAAATGAGACCACAAAAAAAGCATTCACGGTGGTGAGTTTTCTAGACCCCCATTCTATTCTTTGGGATATTTCCTCTTGAACACGAGCTTGCTTTCCCACAGCTATGCCTGGCCTCCTGGCTTGCAGTGACGTGATGTCTGTGTTGGTGACTTCCCAAACTGCCACTGGGAAAACTAGTACCACAAGTTTAAAATAAAGAGCCAAATTCCAGCCTCCAGTCCTTTCTCTGTATTCAGGACTTTCTGAGTAGCCATTGTTTTCCACTGCTTGGGGAGAAAGACAAAATAAAGTTAGAAATCAAACCTATGTGCTAGATTGGTAGACTGGCACCCAGTCCCTCCTCCTTGTCAGCAATGGGTATTGGGCGACTTCTGTTTGGAAAACAGTGATAGATACTGCAGATAAATAGAAGCGATGCTTCCTTCCAAGGGCTCCCAGTGTGGTCGGGAAAACACAGCAGTACACGTCCAAATATGTACCAAAAGAAAACAGCAAATAAAAGGAAACAAGAGAAATCGCTTCCAGAAGAGGCTGAAGGCAATACACCAAGGGCTCTTTAAGGAAGAAAAATTATTTGGGCTAAGTCTCAATGACTGGTTGGAGGTGCACACGGTTAGGTTGGACAAATAAAGAAAAGAACACACGCAAATGGAATGAGAAACTCCTGTGTACAGCTTCATGGCTACACTTAACTCAATGTGCTGTATGTATGTATGTATTTATGTGTGTATATATGTATATATGTGTGTGTGTGTATATATATGATATATGTGCATATATGTGTGTGTATGTGTATATGTGTGTAAATATATATGATATATGTGCATATATATGTGCAACATATATATGATGCACAACCAGATTTAGATGATTTTTAACCAGGGAGAAATGATAAATATTGGAAGAGGTGGGTATGTTTGACTTGACGTAAATGTTACCCAATATACATGAGACAAATCCTAGCATGGCCCATTATCATATTACCATATACAGTTCCTAGATACAAGTTAGAAATGGTAATTTTAATTTAACTTTCCAGCAAAAAAAAAAAACTAGAAAATGAGGTGCACGTCTAGAAAGTGGTGTGTGGCCATGTCCAGTTTGAGCAACATGGGGGGCAGTGACATCCGCTGTGCTCGTGGACTAGGCTGGGCTTTGTCCTCTCATTGGCTGCCCGGCACCAGCTCTCACCAATCCAAGTCCGTGGCTTGAAGGGGACGGTTGAGATCACCATCCCTGAGATTCAAAAGCAGAAAGAAATTGTAATTCTTATCTAAGAGACCAGAAGGAAGACAACAACAGTGTCAAGAAAATTGGGCCACGATCAGTGTAAAGCTGCATGAGGGTTGACGGGCCTGGTCAAGTATGGAAGGTCGGTTGGCGAGAGTGAGAAAGTCAAGTGTTGAAACTAGCTTAAGTACTAAATTTGAATTGATCTGCTTAGAAATTATGCTATTTCAAATTTGCCATAGTCTTGCCAGTAGAAAAGTATTTAGTGATAGCATACTCATTAGGAGATTTGCATATTCAAATGTCTGGTTTGGGCGGGGATGTGTGTCTGCTCTTGAGTCATGCTTTTATCATTGCAGATGGGGGTGTTCTTAGACTAGCCCATGGTCCACTTTAGTTCATAGCTACTGAAACCAGAGCTGCCTCCTCCTCCTCCTCCTCCTCCTCCTCCTCCTCCTCCTCCCCTTCCTCCTCCTCCTCCTCCTCGTCCTCCTCCTCCTTTTTCTCCTTCTCCTTCTCCTTCTCCTCCTTCTCCTTCTTCTTTCTCACTTCTTAACTTACTTTTCAGGCCTCCACTTTTCAAACTGAGATGTTGTAACAGTACTTACGCCTATAATTTTCTAATATAGCCAAGCAAGGCAGAAAACAGAAGATAGAAAAGCCAGGTTGCTATAGACAACACAGCTCATCACCGTTTCTTTCGAAAGGCCAGGACTAATGGAAGAGGTAAAATCTATTTGTTTCTAAGGCAAAGCTGTCTTCGCTTCCACTTTAAGAGACGATTAATGGGAGCGATTTTCTCATGCTTTTCTTGGGACTAAATAGCATTATATCTTCTGGCATCACATGTCCCGCCTCAAATGTAATTACAAGCTTTGAGGGGCTGAATATAAAGAACTCATTTAGAACGGCCGTTCAGGTTATTTACTGTGGAACATACATACAGTTACTCAGAACTAGAAAATCATTCAGTCACTAA